CCCCCCCCGGTAAGCTCCCTCGGGTGTCGAGTACTGAACGCGCCCCTGCTAAGGCAAAAATGCGCAGTGTGGGTACACAGACCCGTCCAACTGCCGGCCCGACTTTAAGTAACTTAAAGGTAAGATTAGATCTCTTCATCCCTCCTTCCCCTGCCATGAATAGGATGCCAAAACCTGCCTTTTCACTGCTTTCCTCGCGGCCGGCGTGACCTGGTCGCCAAAGCAGGTCTCTGCCGTCCCGCACCTACCCGTCAGGTGCTCGAGCACGCTTGTATGAGCTTGTGCGACCCTGAGGAGGTCGGTGTGCGCCTCTGTGCTTTGACTGCCTCGTCTGGTCATCGTTCTTGTGTTCCTGCGTAAGGCGTCTTCAAGAAGGGAGGCAAAAAGCGCTCTGGAAGCGCTCGCTGCTGCTGCTATGTGACTTACTGCCCCGAGGAGGGTGGTCTCCAGGCCTCGGTCTGCAGCTAAGCACATCAGTGGTATTTGTATGTGTTTTAAGTGCTTTTTCTCTTTAAGCTGAAGGAGAGCCAACAGCATGTAGATAATGTGAATGTCAGAGACTCCAAGATGCAGGCCTAAAGCCCCAAAAAGTAAGTGCAACACCTTTCACTGTGCTCTAAAGCAGTACGTAAGGCAAGTACATGCCTTCCTCCTAAGAGTAACCTCAAACCCCGTTAATGGGGGATGATGCGACTCAGTGCCTTTTCAGAATATGGATTTAGGAGAAAACGAAGAACTAGTAAATTCCATGGGCACTTGTGTTTCTGTATCTATCCTGGAATTTGTAATTTTCACACTTAAAAGGGGATTTTACTAAGTACATAAAAAAAGAATCCTCATGGCACAGACATCACCATAATCTACAGGGAGGGAAAGGAGAAACCTACTTTTCTTCCGAGCTGAACATTAAACCCCATTAATTGCAATTTGGGCTTTTTTTACAAGAGTTTTCAGTGCAGGTGCCTGAGAAGCAGTTTGCCACAAGCCAGGTGAATGGCAGCATGGTAGTGTGCAATCTGAGCAGGGCAGGAATGGAAGTATACTTTCTAGAGGCACAATATCCTCCCTCCTACTTTTCTCTTGGGAGAGGTAGCAATTTGCTGTTAGTAGGAAGAGGGAAATTGCCACCCTACTCTGTGCCAGCTCAGCTGGCGGGGACTTTGCGAGCAGAGCAAAGACTCTTCCCACTCACTGTCCCCCTGCTAAGGAGCTGGGGCAGTAGCAGGTGCCCATGCCTATTTTCTTGTGCGACATAAATCCAAAGCCCTGCTATCTCATTCATAAGCAAAAAGGTGCACTGCTTTTTTATTCACTTGTACGTATTGCCTGGTCAAGGTACCTTGCCTAAGGCAGTTCTTGAGCCAGTCAGACAGTGATCAACTGTCTCTATATCCAGAACTTCTACATCAGAGAATCTGGCAATTCCCTTGTTTTCCCTTTGGTTCGCTGTACTCACTGAATCTTTGGTGCTCCATCATGTAAATGTTAACTTCCCTCATGGTTGAGGGAGCTCCTGGTCAGGACTGACAGGAGAATGGATCATCTTCTGGATCCTCCACTATGCTGAAAGAAATCTTTATTCATTTTGTGTGGTATTAATTCCAAATATTTAATATTCTTTTATTTCTGTACACATTAGGACTGTGCAACAACAAGAAGCGTGAAGGAGGCTCTTTTTTTCTGTTTTATATTAGGACTTGGGTAGGAACACTACTTGATTGTATTCCCTATATGAAATCTTACTCTGTGTGAAAATGACAGTGCTGGGAGTCTTCACAAGCGTGCATTCCAATTATCTATCATTAGTCCCTTTTGCCCTGTGATGTACTTAGAAAAACAACAGAGTGCAGAAGAACAAATAAAATACAAATTAATTAGAGAATCAAGTCACTCTTGTTTACGTTTTTCTGACCCCCAAAGTAGCATTCCTTTTCTATTGAAGCAATGATCTTAACCGTACGCGTTCACGAATCTCTATTAAAACGGAAAGAAATTGCAACTTATTTTCTCCTTCCCAATTTTCAATGCAATTTACTGGAACGACAGCCAAATATAGGTGTCTAAATTCCATAGTCTTCCAGAAGTCAAAACAGTCTGCCAAGATAACTTCCCTTTATTAAAGCCACATGATTCTGACTGTGTCATTAGGAAAATGAGCCAATATCCAATAAGCTGGGATAGCTCTCTGGTATATCTTGCCCATTTGCTCTCATTGCTTATTTTCCTAGATTTTTCTGCAGCACTTTTCTACTTCCATTAAGTAGGTTTATGTTCCTGTATTCTCTCAGGAGACTAGATGCAACAATTACAGTTTGCTTCTGAATAAAATCCAACTTCCCACTTGAAATTCTGAAGACTTCTGAGAACTTTTGCTGGTGTCATTTATTGATCATATTTGTGCTCCTAAGCTCTTTGTTCATTCACACGCAATGAGTCTCTTTCGCATAAGGTCTAGTTGTTCTTCTTTCCTCTACGGTCCAGGAGTAAGCCCACTAATTTCAGAGGCCGTTTCTACATTAAAATATTATGAAAATATTACAGATGTCTTGAATGGGAGACTTTCCAGACCTTAGCTGAAAAGCTCAGGTGTTGCCTAGCATTTCTCATTATTGTTATTAGTGCTTTTCTTCTCCTAGTAATCACAATGCTGGTATGGACAGCTCTGACAACTGGAAGCTTTTTTGGTCATCTAGCTCGTCATGAAGACCAGCCATAACCAAGATTAGACAGTTTGATCCTTAGAGTCCTGGCAGTTGCTGGGAGTAGGTTCTGTTCTAATCTTCCAGGGCTGCCACTGGTGCAGCTGAACCAATAGTTGGGGGGGGTAGAGGGATGGTTTAAAAAAAAAAAAAAAGTGCAAACCCACCCAGTAGCCTTGAATGCTTTCTGACTGAAGTAGTCCATAGAAATCAAGAGTTAATTGCAGATCGGGCAGTACAGAAAAAATAATATTATTCTTGGTGAATAAAAAGACTTCAAATTTCACCTGAACATCTCTCATCAATGCTGAATTCACATACTGCAGATAACAAGATAATGATGGATCAGAGTAAGGTTCAAAAAGGAGAAGAAAACAGTTGTCCAATAACAAAACAAAGTCTTGCAAGCCATTTTCTTGTGACTTACATAATGGAAGTGATTAGGCTAAATATGTAGTACTAGTTCAGTCTAAAGACTGAAGTGATGTTCACCAAGTAGTAGTTCTTACAGTGTTTTCTCTCTGGATTCTTGAACAGTTCTCATTCCTTAGACCCTCTTGTGTATGTCTGTGTGTGTGTGATCCAGGCTGAGAATCAACCCTTTGCTGGCTGCTGATTGAATAGGACTCTCTTCCCCATCTCAGGGGCTGCTTACTGTACTTCACGTTATATTACGGATGAAACGGGAGCTTTAAGAGAATAACTCTAGAGTACTTCTGAGTGTGAAATTTATCACTCCCGGACTCTCCTACTGTTCTATTTCTTCTTAAAGCTAAAAGATTATAGGAGCTTTACAAACTCACCATGCCTGCAAGTTTATAAAGAGAAGTGAAACCTTTTTTACTGTAGGGCATGATCACGGTTATTTTGTCTTTTCCACTACCACTCCAAACCTAGCATGATCTTTGTCCGCTTTTGGCTGAAGGGCCTTCAATGGCACAGCCTCCACAGCCACTGAAGGTCTCAGCCACTGGGATTGAGTCCCAGAAACAAAAGTAAATAAAAACTATGGCTGTAGTTACATGCAATTTCTAACACACTGTTGCTGCTCATATTTATCACTGTTACTGAAACCGCACGCTCGATAACAAACATATTTCAAGGCATATTAGTAGGACAGCCTCTAACAGTCATCCGTGGACAGAGTTCTTTGCCTCAAGCTCTAGTAACTGTCCTTATGTCCCCACTGCCTAAATGCGCCAAACGTAGCCACTCACCCTCCTCACCCAGAGATTAGATTTGATTACATGAGAATTCATTAGGATTTCTTAATGAAATTAGGAACCATTACTCTGCCAACTTTCTGATGAGTAATGGCTTGTAGCATTGCAGCCATATATGAAAACCGTAGAACTCTGTGCACTGACCTTTGCTTAAGTTTCTAAGTCACGGACTCAGATTTCTGAATATTCTTGCTTGATGGCAATAATTATGAATCCTCTAGTATTATTTTATATGAAGAATCAATACGGTGGTAAGTCCTGTTGAAGCAGACCGCTGGCTGAGCCAGACTTGTTTCCTTTCTCCAGCCACTGCTGTAGAGGGGGAGGGAAACAAACTATGAGTTTATCAGCAACAATTATACAGTATTTCCTTTCTATTATCTAATGCAGCAGGTAGGTGCAGGTGGAAATGAGAGGAGGGGAGTGGTTTTTTCCCCTCTTACGCCAATTGAAGTGATGCAGCAGGTCTGCAGTGCAATTACTGCATCCACTTTGGTAAGGCACTCTATTCCCTGTGTTGCCAAACATACTAAAGTGTACCTCACAGAGGGCATAAAAATTACAGTCAAGGACAATATACCTTGCATAATATTTTAAGGGCAAATAATTACATAATGTAATAAATAAAGGAAACAATTTTTTATTGCTGCTGGTCATTCTGGCTTAAGCTGTGCTGTCACTCAGTAAGTAGGCTTTCCTGTTGGCAGCATCCCTATGGCAGATGGTGTTGCCAAAGAGGAAATGAAAGAGAACTCACTACTTGCAAAGTTTTTAAAGTGTTTCTTTGGAAAACAGTTGTTTTACCCCACGTTACTGTACTTCCTTACAGCTGATTGTTCTCAGCAAAAGCCTCTTATCTTCCAGTAATTGCATTACCCCACAAGTGAAAGCACTGTCTGTAAATAAACTTGCAAAGTCTCAATCCCTAATATTTAAGCAAAGCAGTTTAAGCGTAGCCTCTCAGCTGTCCTGCTCGTCCCCAGCTGCGCTGAGACCCCGCAAGTTACTGCATGTTTATTTTCCCTGTTTCGGCTTCCTTGCAGTTTCTCTGGCTGCTAACACGTTTTTCGCGCATGCCGGGATTATTCCGTCGCCAACCCTCCCCCCCCCCGCCCCCCGG